CTGGGAGAAACCTTTACATCCCCTCTCTGAAAAGCCCCCTTTCTACAAAACCTGCATTCATGTGAAAATATATTTGCTTTCATTCATACATTAGAACAGTGTTCCTCAACCTTGGCAACTTGAAGTCCAGACATCTTCAAGTTGCCAAGGTTGAGAAACACTGTTCTAATGTATGAATGAAAGCAAATATATTTTCACATGAATGCAGGTTTTGTAGAAAGGGGGCTTTTCAGAGAGGGGATGTAAAGGTTTCTCCCAGGGGCAGAGATTCTGATTCTCGTAGTTTAACAAAATTAGACCATGTTGCTGCTGCATTTTGGGTGGGAGGTTTTGGTCAACTTCCATAGTTGTGACAAAAGAGGGAAAAACAGGGCTTCTGGTGAAGAGGCTGAAGTGTTATACTAGAGTTAAAATAGTCACCTTGCTCACTTTAAAAATGTGCTACCTGACAAACCAAGCATGTTTTTTTTTCATAAAGGACTGAATAAATGCCGCCCATTATCATATTTTTTAGCGTATAAGACGCACCTTTCCTTCCCAAGAGGCTGAAAATCTGGGTGCGTCTTATACACCGAATACAGCATTTTTGGCCTCCCGAAACCCCAGTTCCTGAGCATCCTGTTTTTTTTTTGCAAAAATTGACATGCAGAGGGTTTGGGAGGCCTGCAAAGTGCTGCTGGGGAGGGCAAAAGCGAGCTAAAAACAGACCGTTGCGTCCTCGTTTTTGTCCCCCCCCCCCAGCCCAAAGGAGCACTCTACAAGCCTCCCGAAGCCTATGCATGCCCTGTTTTTTGAAAGAAAAAATAAGAGGCCTGTAGAGGGTTTGGGACACCCGTAGAATACAAAAACTTTCTTTTTAAATTTACCTCTTCAAAATCTTAGTGCGTCTTATAAGTCCGAAAAATACAGTAATTCAAAATTACAAAATGAAACAATCCTAAATATTTCTCACAATTCGTTCTGTGGTGGGATCTGTCTTAGAGAGGATCTGGGGTATGGCTTTCCCAAACCAACACCCACGACGTTCACAGGACAGCAATTACCATATTTTGCCAGCGAGGGCACTTCCCGTGTGAGAAAATGAAGCTCCAAAACACACTGCCCAGAATGTCACCTTGGCAGTTGTCCTCATTTCTCCATTGTTAAATAAGTCAAGGAACCAACATGTGCTTTAGCTGGAATGGCCTCAAATAGGCTACTTTTAAGATGGGTGGACTTCAAGTCCCAGAATTCCCCTGCCAGCCATGCCCATTTTCTGTCTCTCAATCTTTACAATGGGGAGACGGCAGAGAAAGGGATCACAGGAGAGTAAGCAGGTACGCAAAGAGGACAGACATCAAAAGGGAAGTGTTATCACCAGGGAATTGCTGGCTGGGGAATTCTATGAGTTGTAAAGTCCACTTATCTTAAAATTCAGAAAGTTCACACTGCCCCGGGCACAGACAAGCCATAAAGATAACTCTACACGTGCATGCTCGCCTCCATTTCACAACAAACCAACATTTATTTAACAAAACACAAGAGGAGATGACCCTATAACATCCAGAGTGATAACGGTGGGGTTCTCTTGAGAGCCAAAGCTGCAACGGTGGGCGGAGGGAGGGTGGGGTCAAGTCCTTCCATACAAGTCCACTCTTCTTTTTAAGAAACCAGGACCCCGGCGGAACTGGATTTGGCAGCAGCCCCCTCTGGGCTCTCTTTGGCAGGTGGCTTCTGCTCTTCCTCGCCCATCAGGCGGATGTTGTGCTTCTCGCGGAACTCGTTCAGCTCCCGGCCTTTGGTCTGCAGCTGCTGGCTCAGGGTCTCAATGATCTTGTTGATCTGCAGGGGGACAGAGAGGGAAGAGGCGGCAAGAGCCAGCCAATGGGGCGCCTGGATGTTCAAGTCCCGCCTGAGTCACGAAATCTAGGCTGGATGACCATGGGGCTGGTCATTCTCTCACTTCACCTCACAGGGTTGTTATTATTGTAGGGAAAATAGGAGGAGGAAGGAGAAATAGATATGTTCGCCACCTTCGATTATTTCTTAAAAATAATGAGGAAGGAAAGTAGAAAGAAAGGAAGGGAGAGAAAGAGAAGAGAAAAAAGAAAGAAAAAGGGAGGAAGGGGGAAGGAAGGAAAGAAAAGGGAGGAATGGAAAGAAGGAAGAGAAGGAAGGAAGGTGAATAAAGGGAAGGAAGAAAAGAAAAAGGGAGGAAGAGGGGAAGCAGGAAGGAAGGGAGGAAGAAAGGAGAGTAAAGAAAAGAAAGGAAGGAAGGAGAATAAAGGAAAGGAGGGAGGAAGGCTCTTTTCTCACTTTCCTTGAAGAGGAATGTCTATTTGGGCGGATCTAAGCTCATAAAAATAACTCCCTGCAGTTAACGGAATTATGTCCAACGTGAACTGAACTGGGAGGCTGGCGGTGAAAAGCAAAGCAGGCTGGGGAATTCTGGGAGTTGAAGTCCGCCAGGCTTAAAGTTGCCAAGATTGGAGACCCCTGGACTGGAGCGATTTGAGTCACAATTGTGGCAAAAAATACCCATCGTCAAATGGTGCACGGCTCACTTAACCACCACCTTGCTTAGCAATGGAAATTTTAGGTTCCCTTGTGGTCGTAAGTCGGAGACAACCTGCGTCATATGATATACGTGGGTGGGTGCATAATTTTGTATTGATTTATTTAGTCATGGTTAGGTAGGGTATATTGGAGGTGGAGACCCTTTGAGAGCTGTGATACAACGCAATTCCATTTTAAGGCATGCCAATTAGTGGGCAAAGTGACAATGAAGCCGTTCTAAATCTTCATTAAAGGTGCCAAATACACCGAGGTGGCGCAGTGGTTAGGATGCAGTACTGCAGCCACTTCAGCTGACTGCAGTTCTGCAATTCAGCTGTT